CAGTTTCCATAGGCCAAGAAATTATTTTTGGGAGGGCTGAGATTGAAAAGAATAGAGTATTTTGTGCTCTAAAAAAATGGTGTTTTGTCTTTGGCTCCCATCATTATGGTCTAGCTCCGCCACTAGTTTAACTTCATATGATCTCGGTTGCTCCGCTGGTTTCGGCCTAAGAGCAAATGTGCAACATAAGCTGGTGTTGAGAGACCTTTTGAACCAACATGCTCTATCTCCCCCTCATCACGACTGTCTGCATCTTCTCAATCCTACCTCCTACTTAGTTGCAAGTTGTTCCTTTTTGTTATTTGTCACTCTGGATTACTTACTTGTTAAGCGGTACATCACAATGCAATAGTAATTTAAATCTACTTGTTACAATCCAAATATAAAGTTTCCAAATTATGTAGTGCATATTTGAACTGGATAGTTGCTCTAATTGTTTGAATGAAACACCCACACATGTTCCACTAGATCATTTAGTAGTTGTGTATGAGTTTCTTGATTATGAATCCGATGATGCATCACTCATAAATTGTAGAATTACTCAATCCACTGGATTTCTCTGAAACCAAACAACAAAATTGTAAGAAATCACTACGACATTTCACTGAACACTTGCCATGCATCGTGTTTGGCATAGACGACATCGATGGGGGAGGGGGGGAGGATGTGTACTAGGGCGGTGTAGGGATCCGACGACGGTAGCATGGAGTCCTGACAGTGGTCCGATAAGGCCCGAGGGCGTAGGAGGTGGGTGCGGTCGTGGCATCCAGGGACCAGGAGTGAGAACCAAGGGCGGAGGAGGAAGTATGGAGTGTAGGAATGTGGACGAGGCATATAGTACTAGTTCGAACTCCCCCACTCTTCATCTTGATTTGAGACAAAACTGAAAAAATTCAATTAGTCCAGACTACCGAAGCCAAGATTAAGTAGTCCAAACGGTCGAGTCAAGTAGGACGGCACTATAGAGGTAGAGGATAGGCTTGGAGTGTGCACTCCGCTATCCAGTTCCGCTCCACCGAAATGCCGCTCTTCCCACCCCCCTCCACGGCCACACTGCCCCACCTCCGCCTCCCGCTCCCGCTTCCCCTTCCCCAAAGCCTCCGCCTCCTTCACCGTGCCTCCCGCCATCCGCGCCTCCCCCCCGCGGTGTCGGCCGCCTCTCTCCCCCTGCCGCCCCCCGATGCGCTCCTCCCGAACCAGGCCACGGGCCTCGTCGCGGCTTCCCAGGCCAATTTCATGCGCGTCATAGTCAGCTCCACCGCCCCGGGGCTCGAGCAACACCAAGGGACAGACCTTCTCTGCCTCGTCCGCGCGCTGCTCAAGAAGATCCGCCGCCGCGTGCTCGTCGGGGACAGGGTGCTCGTCGGGGCCGTCGACTGGACCGACCGCCGCGGGATGATCGAGGACGTCTTTGAGCGCCGGAGCGAGGTGGTTGATCCGCCGGTCGCCAACGTCGACCGTCTCGTTGTGCTCTTCTCGCTGGACCAGCCGCAGCCTGAGCCCGCCACGCTCACCAGGTTCCTCGTCGAGGCCGAGTCCACAGGGATACCCTTCGTGCTTGCCTTCAACAAGGTCGAGCTCGTGGACGATCAGGTATACTCGGTCGGAGCCAGAATTGGGTCATTAGGTTACCAACAAGACATATTCTTATTTTTTATTTCAATCCTATCGTAGCATAATTGCTTTCATCTAGTCTAGATTGATAAAGAGTAGAAGTTCTGCTGATAAAGTATTCCTCTATACAACGGGGTAATTGGAGTTTAGATTATCTAATAGTGAGAAGCAGCATAGCACAAGTCATGATTATTGTGGCGGAGTTTGATGCGTAGTTGAGCTTCGCATAGTAGCCACTTCATTGATTCGATCAATGGCTCATTCGGCACAAACTTACACTTTACCGAGACAACCTTCATTGCAATTCGGTGCTCTTGCTTCGCATGAAAATAGTTCAGTTGCTGGCAAGACCAACATATTCTGTCAACAGTCAACAATATCTCTCTATCACCCTTTGAAACGCAAGAATTTGGAGGGAACAGAGCTAAGCTCCTTTGCGGCAGCCGAACTCCAAGACCTTAATCTGCAAGTACATCCCAGAAGAGATCATGGATGGATTTTGCTGCATTATTGAAGGTTAGTTGTCCAGAAGAGGAGTACAACCAGACTGTCGAATCCCTTCCTCTTGGCCTTTAGGAAGTTTGTTTCTGGAGTTGGACCACCAAACGTCCAGGGACGCTTAAATGTGTGGCTGCAAACAAATAAAGCTGTGCCAGTTCAGGACAATACTCCACAGGATGCTGGTGATACTCCATAAGCCAATGATCTTTCAAGAAAAGGTTGTTCTTTGCATTGCCAATATGAATCTGGGCAGCAGCTTTGAAGATTGGAAGTTCAGTATTATTATGGGGAATTTCTAAACCATGCCAACCCCGGTTTTCAGTGGTGTGCTGCATCCAGAACCAGTGAGTCGTCAGCGCCAACCTGGTGGCCTTAAGATCAGGAACACCAAGAACACTGGCACTTTTTGGCCGGCAGACCCGAGACCAATTGACAGGGCAGTTCCTGCCTGAGATGTTTTTTTTTTGAAAAGGAGGAAGATCCATCCTCTGCATTGATTGATGCACATAGCCATTTTTATTGTGAAGCTCTCAATCCAATACAAAAAGTGATAAATAAGTTTGATAATGGGCTATGACAACAGCAAGAGATATTAAATGTAGTACTTGTGCATCACTATTCCTATTTCTAGACCGCCATCCATATTGGTTGAACATAGCCTGTGTGACCATCTCCAAGTGGCTTTACCCAGACACTCCTGCGCCTCCGCATGCTGAAGTAAGCACCATGTATGGACCCAATGAGCATCCTTGTGGATAACCTGCAAATAGTTGGAAACTCTATTTTTGTTGAAAACAATATCATCATGACAATTCCCAATAGTCCAACACAAGGCGCACACCCCCACCAGGTTCAAGCCTTTAGCTGCTACTCCGCTCCCGCCAACCTATTCCCAAACATATTCAAGATACTGGTTGGCGGAGGCAGGTTGAAAGCCACATAAACAGTTCCCCGTAACAAATGTGCAAAAGAACACGAGAGAATTAAGTGTTGAATCGTCTACCCTTATCACAAAAACAACACTTCTTGCTACCATTCCAATCGCTCTTAGGTCAGTTGTCATTAGTTAGCATTACACCTCTGTGATTCTCGTTTACCATGTCGGCATACATAGATTCTGAACCGAGAAGACCGAAAGCATGGAGTTTCCACCGGAAAACATCCTGGTCATGAGTCAGCTTGATATCCATCAAGCGCTGGACCAGATGTAACCAGACTATCCATTTATCACTGGTAAGTATCTGATGAAAATTAATATTCAGCGGATTCCTGGTCAAAACATTTGCCATGGAAGTATGTTTCCCATGTACTATATTGTAAAGATTTGGGCATTGCGGCTCAGAGGAGTATCTTTCGAGCCAGGAATCTTCCCAAAACTGGTGTGAGTACCGGCTTCGACAATGAACGCACCTTTGCTGAAGAACTCCTCTTTGACTCTCAAAAGGCCCTCCCCGAAGGAAGAATCAGTGGGTTTGACTGTCATTTGTGATGAGTTTTAGAATGTAGATATTTACTTCAGCAACTCTTGCCACACTCCATCCTCATTTAACAACTTGAACAACCATTTGCTCAGCAAGCATTTATTTTTGATCTTAAGATCATCCACCCCAAGGCCTCCTGGATCTTTTGGTCCACAAATGATACTCCACTTGTTCACTAACCGGTTGTCAATCCTCTTTCATTCCTTATTCGGGAGCTTGCGATATTGAATAGGGATCCCGAGGTATCGGAACATAAAGGATCATGCCTCACAGCCAAAAAGTTGTTTGTATTGATCTTTGCCCTGCTTGGCCTAACCAGAGTAGAATATTTAACTCTTATGTAATTTGATTTTGAGGTTTGAAAGTTGCTCGAACAAAGAATGACCTTCATGGCTGCTTTCTTCATGTCATGTTCCTTGAAAATAATAGCGTCACCTGCATACTGAAGTGTGTACACACCTCCATCCACTAGCTACGGAGTAAGGGCATCTCCAACGCTGACCCCCAAAACAGACACGGTATCCGTCATACGACATCCTTCTTCAAGATGAAGTAGTCATCGTAGGACTGGACGCCATTGTAGAGGCGACTAAAGACATTTTTTTTCAAATCTGAAAGCGCCAGCAAAAATTGTCCACGAATAGGGCATCAGGGGCAAAGTAGTCGTCCATCAGCGTCAAATGGCCTGTTCCGATTCAGCATTTGGTGACCCTTGACCGATCCCTTCAAATTAAGAACATGCTCTTCCGCACGCTCCGTGTCTGCAAGGACCGCATGCATCATCGGTGTTTCATCCGCATAGTCCTCGTCGAACAACTCAATGTAGTGCTCTTATATGCACTCTCCATGTCCGGATCCATTGCTTCAAAGAAGGGACAAAAAATTTCAGCACGGGAATTTCACCAAACACTTGCCGGGCATGTTGACCCCCCGTACGGCCGGATGGTACCTGCGCGGCGGGCAGATGAGAGGTGTGGATTGGTGGCGGAGGGCAAGCGGCATGGCGACCGGGTGGAGCGGTGGAGGTCGCGGGCGTCCGGGAAGGGCTTGGCAGGCGTCCGGGGTGGTAGAGCGGTGGCGTCGGCGAGGGAGGAAGCGGATGTAGAGAAAGAGGAAAGGATGGAGAGCGGGGTTCGGGCGGGGTTTTGTGTGGGCCGGGGGTATCAGAGTCCTACGTGGCGGTGATCCAAATGTAGAACGCCCGGATTGGTCCGCGAACCGATGCGGGATGGCGTTGGATGGCAAACTGCGTCCGGACAGCTTGGTCCGGACGCTTGCAAGAGTTTTGAGGGTTTGCTTTGGAGATGCCCTAAGGCCACCCACATGGCTATCCTCATTTGCCATTGCAATGAGAATGGCCAACATGCTGGCAACAATGTTGAGAAGGTTCGGAGTCACGGGATTCCCCCTGTCTAAGACCCCCTTTCGAGTTCTCTCTCATTCTACGAACTTTGCAATCTAGTAGCACCACTGTAGTGTGAACCCTTTCATGCGAAGGTTGTTGAAGAAAAGACCAATTAACCTTGTCATATGCCTTCTCAAAATCAACCTTAAAAGTCACTGAGCTTATTTGAATGTAGCACGTCAAAGTTTGTCAATCACCTTGATAAACCTACGCCGGGGGGTCTAGGATCATGAGTTGGTGATTGGGGGTGGCATAGCTCGTTTAAGTCTCCATTGTTCGCGTCCTAATTGAGAGGGGTAGTCCAAGGTATTTCACTGGGAGAGACTTCTCCGCAGTCAATCATGGCCTTAGTTAGAGCAGCATCACCATCGTCGCATTTGATAGGCAAGAACGCGCATCATGGATTTGATTGCGTGAAGCTCCTCACTCAGAGACTTTATGAACATGATGACATCATCTATGTAGATGGACATACTCTGAATGTTCTCTCTGCCTATAGGGGAAAATAAACTCCAGCACTCAGGCCTTCACATTGTGAAAAGCAAGATATCCATGAAAATGATGAAAAGAGCGGGGAAAGCGCGTTTCCTTGGCCAAGGCATCTAGTGAATTTAGGACCCGGAGAGCCGTTGAGCAGAATGCGTGTTGATGCAGTGGAAAGAGTGGTAGATAGCATGCCAGCCACAACATTGATCATCGAAACCCTTGCGCCTTAACACTTCAAACCGGAAGGGCCATGCAACCGGGTCAAAAGCTCGATCCATGTCAAGCTTCACAAGGTGGTATAATTTTTGTTGTTGATGAAATGATCAGGCGGTCTGCCATACCAGCATGAAATTGTCATGTATGGAACATTTCTTGATGAAGGTTCCTTGATTGATGGACAAATCCGAGGGAGGAGGTGCGAGTCTTATTGCCATGACTTTGGAGAGGATCTTCGTGAAACTGTGGACAGGGCTTATGGGTCTGTATAATCTTTGTCCTCCCCTGCATCAGGTTGCTTGCTTGCGAAGGTGGACCAAATGTGCCCAGTTTAGGATTTCAATACCTCTTCCACTTGGAGTGTAGAGATGCTAAAAAATGCCACCATGTCGTGCTTATTTAGTTATTTTGATGCCAGCAATTTTGGTAAACTGCCATATTTGTCTGGGAGGAGAATCAGCGTCTTGGCCAGCAAAATCTGCTCGCTAACGCATCCCAATTCCCACTTTACACGCGCTTCAGCAGCCTCAACTTGGCGTTGAGTCTCAGGATGGGATCAAGGGGGCCACTGGATCCCAGAGCTGTCAACGACCTCTCAGCCGAACCATCCGTTGTGAGCCAGAAGGACTCAAAGTGGAAGTGTTTACTTTTCTTAAACTTTGGTGCCATCGCGAGCAGTAGAGGATGACCTGAGAACAAGTTATGCCATTCGACCGAGACTAAAATTTGCCCAGCTTGCGAAGGATGGTGTTTTCTTGATCATTGACCATGCGTAGGCTCTCCCATTAAGGTGGATGTCGGGCATAAGATCCTCGGTGGGACAGAACTTTCCCGTCATTCTTCTGTTTAAAGTTTGAGTTGCTTGTTTTGGCCGTGTTTTGAGTTAATATCTCCCAGAACTACCGACGAACCTTGGGCCGTCGCACATGCCGCTCTCGGCTTATCTAAAAACAGATTTCTTTTCGCGTTCTTGTGGGCCATGCACGATGGTGATCTAGCACTACAGTCGAATCTCTTGTGGGCCGGATGTACACATTCATATGTTTTTACTCATAGGATGAAGCAAAGGCATTCCATTTGAGTTATATCAAAGGGATTTGTCTCTCAACAAAGACCTAATTCAGCCTAAGAGGTAACCTGAGCAATAGCCAGATATATAAACAGTAATACGTGAGTTGGCATAGTTCCCTGGTACATACAGCACACAACGAATTTGATTGGTACATCCTTGGGATCACACTCCTTTTGATAAACACCAATTATATATGGCCACTAGTCTCCGTGCTGTCATTGGTCAAACATTCAAATTCAAGTTAGCTAATCTTTTAATTACTAGCAAAAGAGCCCGTGCGTTGCAACGGGTACAAAATGAATTTGACAATTCATATGGTATTTGACAGTTTACCTCCTGTGGTGCAGTATTGAACTATGCCTCGACTTATCTTTCCTTTGGTGTAAAATTGTTGGTCATTCGGCAGCCTACTATTAAGATGCAACACTCATCCTTGAAAAACAAATAAAAAATGATACCCTCTCCTATCTAAAATAAAATAAGTGTCGCAATAAGTGTCGCAGTTTTAAACTGGGTTTAGTTCAAGACTGCGATATGGATCGGAGGTGGTATTACTCAGATATGTGTATGTGAAAGCTGACATATAAAGTTTTCACCATATATGAACCACAAAAATACATATGCAGGAGGAACATTAGTCTACTTAAGATCACTCGACAAGCTAATGCTGCTAGCCACACCCTTGCTTGTATGGGACGGGTGCAACAACGAACTGTGTGTTGGCTTTGAAACTTCCCCGAAGAGATACTAGCATAGTTAAGTCTAAATGTAATCATCTCGTTTGATTAATGAAAGTTCCTTCTCCCGCAAAAAAAAGGAACTGCAAAAATACAAAAATACATTATTGATCAAGTTGATTAGTCATGGTATAAATACATGCCACTCATTGTAGATAACATTGAGAAATTATCCAAATTTTATTGTTGGATTTGGATCGAAATAAACTTAATTTAGGTCTGAAAACTAAACTTCCTTCAAAGTGTGAAATTATCTGCGCATACTCATACATGCTCAGTGGAAGCAAACCTTTTTGCAATAATGATATACTATCACATAGTATCTAGATCTAGATCTCTAAATAGTTGAAAAACACATGTACATGTATTATTGGCTCTAAGTAATGCAGCGACAAATATATTTACTTCGGGTAGACCTTGAGTTTTTTATGGAGACGACGATAAGCGTGAGTAATTGTGGATATAAATTGTGACAGATGTGGCACTAATAGAAAATAAAAAATATCTTGAAGTCTAATTCAGTTCAGTTAATGCCAATACTGCATCTAGCTATTTGCTTCATGCACATAATGACATATGCATAGGGACGCACCTGAGGACGTGACGTGCTCGGAGTTGTTAGTATTTTATCTCGGTCCGCCTGCAGTAATCACCCGTACAAGCATCTAGCTGCTTGGCTTCAGTTGATAAGCATGCATCCAGCTAATCATCATCGGTGCCCTGATCACCCAGATATTACTTGTGGCGTTGGTTATAGCGGCGGCGGCCGCGGTGCTTCAATATGATAAAGCGATCTTTCCTGGAGTTTCCAGTCAAGGAAGACGACATGGTGATTTGTGAGTACAGTATGGGCGGAGGGCGGCGCGGGAACGGTGCAGGCGCTCGACGATGAACGGTAGCCAGAGCAGCGGATCAGTGGTGGATCATGATCTCGTATGGCCGTATTGTTGGCGGTCAGAAGGACCAATTGACGAACCAACTGAACGAGCAACTTCGGCCAATGGCGTTTGATCGATCTCAAAGTTTCAATTGTGTGCTGATCAGAGCGTATTATTCACGTACATGAGAAGATAATCAAATCATTCCTTCTGAATCATGGTTGGCTCCTTGACACGAGCCACCACACCTCAAATTGGGGCTGCGCACCTGCGCCGCCGCCGTCTTAGCAGCTCCAATCGACCATGGCTGTCCGCTGGACCGGTGGGTTCTCAAAAGCAGCGATGGCAGCGCCCCCGCGTCCTCGCTTGATGAGATGGCTGATGTGCGCGACCGTATACTACCGCGGCCTCATGGTCGAGATGAAGTGCCCCGTCGGATCGGCCGTCAACCGGCTCCTTCCACCTCCAGGGGATCCACCTCCTCCCCTTCCCTCTTTCCTGAATCTTGAGCCGATATTTATGGGAGGGTCAAGGGAAAACTCCAAACTGATCGAGAGTCCGCCCTCGTCTTAGCTCTCTGATTTCTATTTTTTTGTTGGGCTCGGTGGACCAGAATAATGGGCTGCCTAGGTTGAATTTGATATTTGAGGACGCGAGAGAAAAGCTGACGTACGAACAAGTCAAGACGGACGGACGGATGGAAATTATAAAATTTAGTACCACCTCGAATATGTTTTTTAAATTCAAACTGAAAGCGTAAAATCACGGGAAGAAGCGTATTGTGACGGTGAACCCGACAAAGTCAATCCGTGCTTTATTATTAGGGAAAGAAATGTATAAAATATGAAAGAACTGGCATTTGATACATACCCACCATATGGGCATCATTGTTTTGTAAAAGATAAGCATCATACATTCACACTTTTGGTTTCCCTCGCTGAGGTGCGAGTTTGAGCAATTTTCTTTCCATTCGATCCAAAGAACGGATCGGGTTCCACCATCAAGATATAACGGAACAAAAACAAAATACATCCTCAAGGTTCAAAACTAGAAAAATAAAAGACATGGTTCCAAGCATGAGTTTGAGCAATTAGAATGTGCAATTGCACACTGTTTATTATTTAGTGTATTTGTTTCACATTGTTTACCTGAGTTTATATTTGTGTGGTTGACCTGATAATTTATAACTCCGTTTTCTGCAGATCATCTCCTACTGGAGGGACAGATTGAAGAGCTGGGGCTATGATCCACTCTTTCTAAGTGTTGATCAGAGATCTGGATTATCAGCTCTTGAAGAGATGCTGGAGGGACAGACAACTGTAGTTGTTGGTCCAAGCGGTGTTGGGAAGTCCAGTCTTATTAATGCCTTGAGATGCAACCAAAACATTTCAGAGGAAGATCCAATACATCAACTTCTTGAACAGGTGACTGTTATATAATTTCAAATTGCATTTAACCCCAGGCATATTGTCATCAGTTTCATACAACGAAAGGTTTAACCAATAATTTCACTTATCACACGTGTTTTTAGTTTTTGTTGCATTTTGCCCCAGCCGTATGGCCCCGCTCATGCCTGATCGGGTTGCCAATGGCACATCTTGTTCCACATGGCTTGTCTTCCTTAATTGTTCCATCTCATCAGGCAAACATACGGCGATATTATTTTCCTACTTCAAATTCTCGCCCATTCTGAACCTTTCAATGCCGTACATAATCCATTATGAGAATTTCATAATTTCTTGTTTTGTTAGTTTTCCTCTAAAATGTAGCCCTTTTTCTTGGCAGAATGTTTATTTACGGATATAAACGTACCACTGTTTACTAAGGTTGGGTCAATTTATCAGGAATAATGCTATCTTTATCTCAAAAAGAAACTCAATTTGTTAGCTATGCTTGATATTGAGATATTGCCGATTGGATTTACTGAACTGATGTGTTGCCTCTGATATGGTATTCAGGACTAATTCAAAATGTATTTTTTATGTGGTCCCAAGTTGGTTTGCCTTACACAATAGGAGACGATGGAGCAAGTATGCATTGTTGTCTGTTTCTTTATGTGGATGCAGTAGTCTTTTTTCCTTTTACCTCAGATATTGTATAGCTTGACATGCTTTTTTCATTTTTCCCATCGTCGTGAAGTTTCTCAATCTTTTTCCAGTAAACTTTAGCAAGTGTAGACACCTTTTTCTATGTGGACACTGAAGTCCCTTGCTTGTGCACATTCTTTTCCAGAATAGTAAATGGTTTGGTGAACAACGCGTTGGTACCGTGTCCAAGAAAAGCGGCAAAGGAAAGCATACCACACGTCATGTTTCATTACTTCCGATAGTTGATGGAGGTTTTCTTGCTGATACTCCTGGATTTAACCAGCCTAGCCTGATGAAAGTGACCAAAAGGGGTCTTGCAGAAACTTTCCCTGAGGTTTGTTCACTTGATGCTCTATTTGGTTAGAGCTTCTGTGCATGAGCAAGTTGACTCTGTTATGGTTGTAGTTTAATTTGTTATGACATTTGCATAATTGTGTTATTGATTTTGTATCCAGATAAGAAAGATGCTAGAAGAAAATGAGTCCTCCGGGTGCTTATTTAATGACTGTGTTCACCTTGGTGAACATGGCTGTGTTGTCAAAGGTGACTGGGAAAGATATCCATACTATCTGCAGTTGCTTGATGAGATCAAAATTAGAGAATCCTTCCAGTTACGAACATTTGGAACTAAAAGAGAAGGTGATGTCAGGTAAGCCGTAAATGTTTCCTTTATGAGAATCACTAATGCACACCAACACCAGATACATATGCCTTTTCTTCTCTATTTCTAGTACTGTGGTTTCTGTTTTTTAAAAGATTTCTAGCAAATATTCTCTAAGCTATAAGCTATCAACAAAATAAAGCCAAATGTTTGGAAGACAGGTTAGTTTTTTCATAGTTTGGCAAGGTGAAATGCATTATGGTGAATGGAATCTACCTTATGGCAGTAGGCCCTAGGTTACCTATTTAGCACTGATCTGCTTAGCATATGCCGGTCTTTCCATGATTGTGGTGACAGCAGTTACTTTTATTCATACATAAATGATCCTTATATTCGGAAATTTTCTGGTGCAGAATCATGTGGTTATTTAATTTTCTTAGGTTCCATACAAATTACTTTCTCCATTTCGCTACAACTGTCCCCAGCCTCGGTGCACTTTGTCTAAAAACATCTACCCATTTAGGGAATCAAGACTAGCTCATGCTATATTTCCACTGCCTGCCTTACTTTAATGCTTTGGGAAAGGTTAAGTAATTGTACCATGCCTATTCATAAGGGTTTTCTATTATAACTTTTTCTTGGGTTAGTGTTTCATTGGCCCATGCACATGGTGGCCTAGATATATAATAATCTACTCTATAGAGAGTCATATTTGACAGATTGGCATCCTTTCTTTAGATCAGTTCCTGCGTATCAAAGCACCTACTCTTTTTGATGGATGCTGAACTTTGTGTGTGTTAACAATGCAAGCATACCCATCTTGCTTCAGGTATAAAACAGGTACCATGGGTGTGAAGCAAGTGGAGCCTCGCCTTCAACTCAAAAAGCACAGGAGGGTGTCCAGGAAGAAGTTGAACCAATCGATTCTCGATGAAATGGATTCTGACATGGATGACCTCGATGATGACTACCAGTTCGGTGTAAGCCGACGTACTAGCAAACGGTGAAGCTGATTCTTACCTGATCTAACAAACTCTAAACATTACCAAGGAGGAACAATGGATGATGTACATAACTGGCTCTCTACTGTCGCCGCCATGTCTAATTCTACTGACCAAGTTCTGAAAATAGAGATGTGTAGACGAGGAAACTACAGAAATGTGCCCTAGATGGTGAAGATTGGCATTACTTGTTTCCCTGTGACAAGATCGAGAAGAAGAAAGTAATAAGATAACCAAAGAAGTAAATTTACACAATCTCCTGCGGCGTTGTTCTGAACTTTCATAAGGTGGTGTTGATTGCTCTATAATCAATTTTATGAGGTACAGCTGCAGCCTTGAGGCGTCGTTTTAGGTTTCTGATGAGGCTCACAGTAGACCTTGGACCAACATTGGTAATACATCATCAAGTCGTATTTTCAAATTCCAAGTGTTTGGTTAAACCACGAGGAAACTTCTTGGCAGCTTCGTAATCCAAGAAAACTAAACCCCGGGTGATGTGTCATAACAGCATTTAGATTGAGTGGAATGCCTGGTAAAGGATGGACTATATGTGGTTGTGGACGCAGTCACGCAGAGCGGAATAGAAGAAGCTCTTGGACCAACATTTTTTTATTTTTATTTTTTATCTGACGACATAAAGCATCATAGCTCCAATTTCAAATATGAAGCCCTTGGACCAACATTGATATATACATTATCAACTTTGCTAAGTTTTTTTAAGGTTGCTCTGTTAATTAGTCTTTTGTTCAGGATAACCATTCCTTTGAATAGGTGAATAAATTAGAATGGCATGAGGAGTACATAAGGAGGCTATATGCCTCACTTAACTGGTAGAGTTTACCACAAAAAGGATCTGCATGCAATGATAGAAAGGTCAGAGGGCAACGTCAGTTACCCCTTTTAACGACCAGTGATCTGGTTGGTAAGAAATCTGAGTCCTCTTTACTTTGACCATGTTGACGAATCGTCCATCGTATACAGAAGCATAGCATATACTACCTGGCTCCACTCCAGAACAGTGACGCAAGGCTGCAGTTGGCACATTGTATATATGTACTAGTATAATGTATAATGTATGGTCCCTAATCTGACCATTTCTGTATCAGGAATCAGATGGAACGCATTATCTTGACAAGCAACCAGACGGGACAAAACTCCCCACTAAACTAAACGTACTGCATATTGATTATCGTCGTCACTAGTTTTGTCAGCAGTTTCTTTGTGCTTCTATTTATATATATAGTAAAAATAAACAAACAAATTCATGACAGCCACCAAGGGAATCTTGTGCTTTGTTTTTGTCAGCAGCGCAATAGCTAAGATAAGAAACATAATTATTTTTTATTGCACGACAATGCTTGCACTTGCAAGCATGAGCATAGGCTTTTTTCTTTCCCCTTTTTTGGCGAGGGGCATGAGTAGAAGCTGTGGTCTCCATGGAATTAATTCGCGCGATGTTGCCGAGTCTTGAGTGTCTTGTTCATCAGTTGAGACCTATTGTTAGTAATTTCTGTGTGAAACTGATCTTTTTTAACCTTCAAAAAGGCCTAGGCGTGCTGTATGCATAGTTCTGTACTAGTGTCATGCACTAGCTTCATTTCTGTACAAGTGTCATGCACTATCGATTTATTGCCAAAATGAAGAGATCTGTTCCTTTCAAGAAGAAATGGAGAAATACTTTGCATCTTATCAAGTTCGGTAGGGCGCTACTATCAAACTATATGTATGATGTTTCTTAATCTAGGCAGGGGATATGTGAGATTATCAAAGTTTGTAGTGCTGAGTCACTGTTTATCTAGGGGTTATGGTCAGTTTGTGTCGTCCAGTCGTCCTACTATATGCTTATTAGGTACTGCCCTATTGTGGTAGCATTCATGCTGCCCACAATTGACCCCTAATAACTTTCAAAGGTTTTAATGGCAAACGGAGCATTTTTCTATACGAGTTGATTGATCAAATACTCGGCTAGCATGGAATTTGGTTTCTATGCCAGAGCCTGTGCTCGGCTGCTAAGGGCCAGGTGTTACCCAAATGGATACATCATTAATACTGTATTTCCAACTATTTCCAAGGACTAGTTAACCAACTTGGTAGGACATCGAGCATGGTTCGGATCGGCTAAACAAGGCTTGAGTGGAGGACTCATCCGGAGAGAAAGTTTGTATATGGAGTGATAATTGTATATGAAGAGACTCAACTCACAATATCTCGGGTAAGTCAAGATGTTCTCGACTTAAGTGGGTGCAAATACTAATAAACCCAACTACAATGGGATGAAGGGACAATGATCGGCTAAACAAGGCTTGAGCCCCCCTCCCCCCTCCCGCGAGCGCTCGGGGGAAAACCCTAGCGCCGCCTCCAGCCCCCCCCCCTCCTCGAGCCTCCCTCCCCTCGTTGCCGCCTCGACGTACTGGCGGGTGAAGCCCGGCCAGTGCTGGCGACGGCGGGGCCCTCTCTTTCCCCCTCTTGGTCCGGCAGGCGCGGGACCCCGAGTCGGGCGGCGACAACAGCTGGCGGCGGGCGACACGAGTTGTGGGCGGTGGCGTGAAGGGGCTGCAGCGGAGGTGGTGCACGGTGGGCTCCGGCGGCGCCGGTTGGCCATATCTGGGCCCAGCCGACGAGGACCGCGGACGACGCGGGCTGCGAGCGTCCACCCCTACCGTGGCCTCGGCTGGTGGTGGTGGTGGCGCAGCGGTGGTGGCAGGTGGGCGTGCTGGTCGGGATCCAGGCGCCCTGCCGGCTGGACGAAGGCGGTAGGGCAGATGGGCTCCCTGGTGAGTATTCTTGGCGTTCGGCGGCGGTACTTGGGGTTCCCCTTGCTAGTGGTCGAGTCCACGTCGGTGGCCTTGCGCGGTTCTGCGTCGGCCGATGAGGAGGGGTAGCACAGGGGTGTGTTCGGTGGGGAGGCTGGCTGGAGGGATGGGTGGTGCCGACGTGCTCGGGCCCTCGTCACTGGCACAGGGGTGTGCCGATTCGGATGCGTCCGTTCCCCCACCTTCCCCTTTCCCTAGCCGCGTGCTAGCTGTCGTAGCTCCGACGATGTTCAAGGCAGGACGTATGCTGCAGTTCGTCGGTTGGTGGTGTTCATTTGGTGCAAAGTTGATCTCTTTGGATGGTCTTGGGGGTGTCTAGATGTTGGGCGGCGGCCCTAGCAGCGGGAGGCGTGGCGTTCGCGGGCGGAACCTACGTCTCAGGTGCGGGCGGGCACCCATGGTTTCGCGGGGGACGTGGCTGCGGGTGGTTGGCGGAGTAGGGGTGTGTCGGTGAGGTGTGAGCACCAGGGTTCATCACTTGCTCAGTCCTTTTCGCCGTCGGTGGCGGTGTCCGTGGATGTCGTATTATTCTTGAAGGATCCATCGTGGTGCGCCAATCCTCCTGCATCGCTCTGGGTGAAAACTTGATCTGCGGTTCGGACGGTGGCGGCTATCCATGGTCGTACCCTTATGGGAGGGATTGTCTTGGAGTCTTTGCTTCGTCATTGTTCATCTCACCCCCTCGGTGGCTCCAAGTGGTTCTTCGTAGCTCATATTTTATTTTCTTGGTTGTGTCCGAGTGGTGTGATGGTGCTTGTCACCTTTGTATCTAGCCTTGGGTATGTTCGTTGTGTGTCGTCGTGGCGTGTGTTTGTCGAGCTCGCTCAGATGTATGTGGTGATCGTTGCTTTATAATATAAAGTGGGGGGAACCCTTTCGGTAAACAAGGCTTGAGTGGAGGACTCATCAGGAGAGAAAGTTTGCATATGGAGTGATAAATGTATATGAAGAGACACAACTCACAATATCTCAGGTAAGTCGGGATGTTCTCGACTTATTTTGAAAACCCGGAAACTTTATTCATTTGAGATAAATAGAACATCGTTTGTGAGGATCATTACAATTTCATTTAAGGGTTCCTCAAACCAATCAGAAGTCAAAGAAAATCTAGCTAATCTAGCAAGCTCATGAGCTACTTTATTTGCTTCTCTATTACAGTGTTCAAAACTATTAGTAATGAAATCACATGCATAATGAAAACAATCATCGAAGATTGCTGCCGCGGCTCTTGCCGACTGCCCTCCATTATGCATAGTATCAATCACCTCCAGATTACCCGAGTTAATAATAAGGTGATTACATCCCTCCCTTTACACCGGTGTTAGACCAAATTTGAGAGCTACAACTTCCGCCATCAGCACATCCGCACAATAGTCTATCTTCCCATTCCCTCCAACAATAAACCTACCTCTGCCATCTCTCAGGACCGCCCCATCGTACCACTAAGAAGGTCATGGTCAAAAGAAGCATCAATGTTAAGTTTCATGAAAACTCTAGGAGGACAAGACCAACCCCTTTTTCATAGAATCCTGGGGGGATAATGCATTAACAATGTTTGTGGTAAGGGCAAGAACCCCCATTGAAATCTGAAGTGCATTTTGAGTTTTCTCCTTGTGCACCAACTTTCATATTTCCCACCATCGATACCATGCTGAGATAGCAATCATCTCATGCACATTGCGGTAACCCATTATTCACAAATCTTGATCTGGCAGAAGTAGTACGTACTCCAGCACCACCTCTCTAGCACGGTCAACCTCGCAAGCTTTATCAATAATATCTTCCGTCCCCAACCTTTTCCAGACCTCCTTTGTTTTACTACAACGTAAAAGCATATGATTTGTATCTTCTAAACACTTAGAGCAAGTGGGGCTGATGGGTGATACCTTCATATGTGTATTAGCCAGCGTAACCCGGAACAGGAGTGTTCCATGTAGCATACGCCATATTTTTTTTACTTTTACCGGACATGCTAACTTCCATATCTTACTCCAAATAGGGTTAACCGTGGTTCACCCCATCCCCTTAGAGTGTTTTAATTTGCTTCCATACTGGTGGTCCCACTCCACAGAATAAGCTGACCGAACCAAGAATATACATTTTCGTATAATTCCAAGCAATGAAATCTGGCATATCATGTTGCGAGAGAGGAATTGAAAGAAACCTTTGTACATCGATTGGCCACATAGTTTG